TTGCCTATAACTAGGAGTGCTGTTTTTCGAAAATTCTCACATCACTCTTCTCCAATTCTTCTTCTTCTTTCTTGCTGCCGAGATCAAAAGAGAAAAGCAAGAGAAGCACTCTTCTCTTTAATTCTGAAATTTTTGAGAGTTGTGTTCTTGAAAGCACAAGAGAGTTTTTTTTTTTTGGGGAGAGCTTTATTTGAACCTTCCTTTGGTTCTTGGGGGGGTTTTGGCCGAACCAAACTTTGGTTCTAGGGTTCAAGGAGTTTTTGTGTAGTAAACAAGGCACATTACTTCTTTTGTTGGTGGAATCTCATATTGTTGAGCAAAGATGTCATCCGGAGTTGCTGGTTGTACTCAAATCGCTTCAAAGAATGTAGAGGGTCGCATGGAGGCTCAAGTACAGCTCATGAAGAGTCAAATTGACTTCCTACATGATGCTTTGGCCGAGGTTAAGGAGGCAAACCGAGACTTGTCTCAAATGCTTTCAAATCAACAAGATAAAGCTATGGTAAGTTTTGAGAAAATTGCTGAAAATTTAAGAGTCTTATGTGATCGTTTTGAAGTTAAACAAGTACCCTCATATGCTGGAATGTTGCAAGTGTCATTGCCTTTGTTTTATGGTTGTCATAGAGAATATGATACTTGGGAAAAGAGCATAGAGAATTTGTTTGTGTTGCTTAACATAGAGAAAGAGAGTGAGAAAATAGCCTTAGCTATAGGGTGTTTTCGTTCTAATGCTTTGAATTGGTGGAAGCTAGTTTCAAATATCTATTCGCATTATTGGTTTCGTAATTTGGATGATTGGAATGATTTGAGAAGTGCTTTGCGAGAAAGATATGCTGGTACTAACACCTTTGATGAAGCAAAAGTGAAGTTGCTCAATTGTAAGCAGAATGGTAGATCCATTCAATCTTACTTTGAGGAATTAGAGGGGTTGTTTCTGAGTTCAGAAGTGGATAAGAACGACTACATGTTGACAGACTGTTTCCACTATGGCTTGGACAAGTGTTTCAAACAACATCCAAAGATAAGGAGACAGTCAAGGCTCTATGAGGCATACTATGCTGCCTTAGAAGTGGAAAGAGAGCATGATACTTCTTGTGGTTGGAATGGTCCAATTGAGGATCAGGGGTTGGTGTTTGGAGCTGAAGATGGAGATCAACGGACTTGTATCTTCCGTACTAAGTGTTCGGTTGGGTGGTCCAATGAAGTTGATTTGGTAATCGACTGTGGGTCGAGTACGATTGTGTAAGTGAGGAATTTTGCATAGCAAACGGAATTCGAGATGGATCCGCATACTAGACCATACAAGCTTCAATGGTTGAGTGAAGAGATGGTTGTGGATGTTACTAAAAGGCCATGGTACCTTTTCGATTGGTGAGTATAGGGATGAAATTTACTTTGATGTAATTCCTATGTCTCTTTGTGATATTTTGCTAGGTAGGCCTTGGCGATCGGATGTAGATCTTGTGCACCATTGCTCAAAGAATATCTTTGTCTTTACTAAAGAGGACAGAAAATATGTTCTTAAGCCTTTGGCTTATGAAGAATCTGAATCTGTGCGAGAGAAAGTACGTAAGATAACCTATACACAAGGGAGAGAAAAAGTCGAGCGAGTGACGCAAGAAAATAAAAAGGGTCACGATGAGGTAAGACTTGAGGCGAGAGAAAACCATGAAAATAGCGTGGAAAAAGAAATGAATGCACGCAATGAGAGAAAACCAGAGTGTGGTGAGGGTGAGGATTTTACTAACCCTTATATCTCGTTTGTTCCTTGTGCAGGTATAGAGGTTGATGATTCGAGGACGAATCCGCTTAAAGAAGGAGGGGATGATGAGAATCATATAGCCTTCCATGGAGGTTCTCCTAGTGAGGGGAATGAGTTAGTCCTTCATTCTAGATTTGGAATGCCAAGTTTACTTTGCAGGCCAATCAAGGAAGAAAGGATGGATCTTGACTACCTATGTGATAGGGAGTTGGTTCAAGAGAGCTATGATCAAGGTGATGAGAATGTCATTAACTTGGGGTGCAAACCAAAGGAGATGAAGACCTCATGGAAATAAGTGCTGAAGAGTATCAAGAGAGTTTGACTCTGTGTGCTCCATTAAGATCATTGATCAAAGCTGTGAGAAGAGTCATTTAGGTTCATGAGTGGACGGCCTATTTGATCAAAGTGTTCAAGATTGAGTCCGTTGCAACACAATTGGATAGGTTGCAAACTATCTTAATTGTTTCAAGTGTTTTTCCAATCTTTTGGAGTCAATAAAGAGAATTCTACAAGTTTTGGAGTAAACTGGAGGTTTCTACAACTTAAGGGGCGCAAGACCAATATTCCACTTTTGGAAGGGCGTTCAAGACATTTTACTTCAATAATTTGGAGCTGAATTTCGAGATTAGAGTCATTGTCTAAGTCTAGGAGTTATTTTTGAATTTTATCTAGTTAAATAAGTCATGTGGGCTGAATTAAGCTAGAGTGTTTTGATTAGGAGTCTTAGATTCCTTATAGATATTATCTTACTTGAGGATAAGTGATTTAGATAAGGTTTCCTAGATTTTAGATAGAGTCAAAGAGATCAAGTACTCTTCTACTTTTACTCCTTGTGAGATAAGATTAGAGAGTCCTAATTGGTCTTCTTTTAGAGGTGCTGGCCGAAAAATTCAAGCCTATATAAAGGAGGCTTGGCCGAATTTTAGAAGCACCCTTGAGTGGTCATTTTTGTTGTCTCTTTTGAGAGTTTTTCCTGTGAGGAATTTTTGTTAAATGGAGTGTCCATTTTTCATGTCAAGTATGTTTAAACCAAGAGGGTTTTCATCTTGTCTTGGATCTTTTTGATCTTGCAGAAACCATTCTTTTTCAAGTATGCTTCTTGATAGAATTGTTTTAAAACTAAACTTCTTATTTTCATACTACTTCTAGTAGTTCGATTGATGAGCCTTTCCTTTGGCTTGGTGTTCGAATTTCATGATGAGTGTGTTCATGAGATCCATTGTGGGGTTTATCCTACTTTTGTTGGGATGAGTTGTGCTTTGGCATAAGCATTTTGAGATAGTGTATGTGTTGCATATCTTTGGTTGGTTATGAAGATTACTAATCAATAGTATTCCTTCATAGTTGGGCATTGTTTGCTCCTACCTTTCTTGAGTCTCTTGATTAATGACTGATCGAGTATATTGAATGGTGTCCTTGCTATTCTTAGCGTGGGTTGTTGTTTAATTCGAATCTTTCATGGATAATGTGTTCTTTGCTTGGTTTGAGTTAAGAGATAGAATCACTTAGATAAACGATCGTCTTACTGTGAATTTTCCGCATTCTTTTGAGTTTCACGGGATAGACAAAATTATCTTCGTACTTTCTTGTTGATGGTTGCATTAACGAAATTTGCTTCGTCTGCGAGATTGCTATCAAATAGGCAGCCCAACTCAATTTACCTTGAGTAATTGTATTAATTTCTTGCCTTTAATAATAAATCTGAGGTCCATTCCTAGTTCCATACATTTCCTTAAGTTCTTCCCAAAGTTCTTTTGCATTACCAGCTAAATCATTTTTAACAACCAACTCTGGTGAAATGGGTGGGAGGGTTGGGTGGGGTGGTTAGGGGATTAGGATGGGGATGGTTATTACCAGGAGGTCGAGGGTTCGATTCTCGTTGAGGCCATCCAATTATTTATTTTTTTAAAAAAAAAAAAGCCAACTCTGGTAAAATAGAGTTAAGAATCCAAGCAATTACCATGTCGTTGACCCGCATCCATTGTTCATAATCTGGATCTCTGATTGCCAGTTTCGCCACCCCTCACGTGATGAATCTGAGTTTCTTTCACATTCCTAGTGAGCTTCAAACATCGTGACTCCACAATACATAGTTGATCTCCGTCAGCTTTGAACCTACGATAGCCATGGATGCATGATCTGATGGATGAAGAACTAATATTATGTAGCCCCTATAATTCGGTATATCTCTGTCTTCTCGATGTAATTTTTCGCACTGATTTCCATTGTGTTTTTTTCTGCCATTTTGTTCACAAGATTCAGCTCTGATCTTAATCTCAACTGCCTGGGGTTTCAGTATTTGTTTGTCGGATTCATCTGATCAAACATTGATCAGTTCAAGCTCATAGTAGGATCTAGTCTTGTTCTAATACCATCTTCAATTCTGGAATAAAAAAGATTTAGTGGAAGCTTAAAGGGAAATTTCGGACAGTGAATAAGAAAGCTGTAGTTTTAGGGTTCTTGATTTTGGACAAAGAAATTTTTTATTAATTGTGTCGTAATGAGATTAATACAGACATATTAATAATATACATAGTTTTGGAACTGATTTAACCGACTAACTATTGTACATTTACAACTAAGTCCCTATATTAACAACATATATACAGAAGTCCTCCTTTTTTCGTTTATGATCAACCGAGTTTGTAGTCTGATGATACAATCTTTTTGTCCTACTAAGCTGCATCTGCTGGTATAATTCCAAGATCCTTATCCTAATTTATGGAGATCATGGATATTTATATATGTCAGTTGTGCTTATAATACTTCTAGTTAAACTCAAACAAATGAAAGGGAAATTCTTTTTGACGGTCGTTTTGTATGTGTCGTTCCAGGATACTATGAAGATTTTTAGTTTATAATCTTTGAGGAAAAAAAAACGTGAATTGGTAATTTTTAATAGTCCATTTATTTATTGCATTCTAAGATAAATTGGTCGTTTTTCAAATCAAATGTGCATGTTCAAGTGTAAATTACACTGTGTAATTTGAAAGCGCAGAGAAAAGAAACACTTGGCATGGAATGTTATCTGACATGAATCCAAAAAAAATTAATGATGTCTTCTCTTTTGAAAAATAATTTATATTGAATTTTGAGATTTGTAATAATTTTACTGTAAATTTCAAAATGACTATTTTTTCGAGGACAAATGGAGTAAGAAAAATAAATTGTGTACAATTTTTTTTTATATATACCAAACTACGTAAGTTATGGTGATTTCCCATTTTTCTCTCATATTTGAAAACTTTCCAATTTCTGTTTTTCTTCCCACTCTCACCGGCCACCTCCTTTCCTCTTTCATGACAACCATCAGGGAAGATGAATAATCTCCATCTCCACCTGGAATCCACCCAATTACTCAACCATTTACCGATACCATCACTCCTTTACGATCGTCACAAGCCATGGTGGAAACAAATTCTTGATCCAAACGGTGAATTCGTCAACAAATGGAACCGAATTTTTCTGGGCACATCACTCCTAGCTCTGTTCATCGATCCCCTGTTCTTCTTCCTCCCAACGCTTCCCAACAATTGCATGAGAATCGATGCCCATTTGGCATTAATCCTCATGGCCGTCAGGACAATTGTGGATCTCTTTTCCGTGCTCCAAATCTCCATGAAATTTAGAACCTCATACGTCGCACCCAACTCCAGAATCTTAGGGAAAGGAGACTTGGTTTTGGATCCCAAGAAGATTGCTTCTCGATATTTGAGAACGGATTTCGCGATTGATCTTGCAGCTGCTCTTCCCATCCCACAATGCCTTGTCTGGTTTGCAATGCCATTGAATCAACAAACGGCTGCTTCTCGCGCGAACCACGCGATTTCTCTGGTTATCATCCTTCAATACATACCGAGATTGTTCGTTATATTTCCCCTGAATTCGAAAATTACCAAGAGTACGGGTGTAGTAGCGAAAACTGCTTGGTCAGGTGCAGCTTATAATCTGATTATTTTCATGTTGGCTAGCCATGTTTTAGGAGCTATTTGGTATTTAATGTCCTTCGAGCGCCATTTTTCTTGCTGGAGAACTATATGCGAAAGGGAAAAAACCCGTCACCATTGTGATTCTATTTACTTAGATTGTGTGTTAAGAGGACACGGCAAAGATGTTTGGAGAAAATCCACAAAGGCATTTGAAATTTGCACCCCGAAGAACTTTGAATTTGGGCTGTTTGCTGATGCTTTTACTGACCAAGTAACCTCAGCTAATGTCATTGATAGGTACTTTTATTGCCTTTGGTGGGGATTGAGAAACATAAGTTCTTATGGACAGAATTTGGAGTCAAGTACTCAAGTTGTTGAAACTTTGTTTAGCTCGGTTATCTGTTTGATGGGATTGGTTTTCTTCGCTTTGTTGATTGGGAATATGCAGTCTTATTTGGAATCCACCACTGCAAGACTTGAAGAATGGAGGGTTAAAAGAAGAGACACTGAAGAATGGATGAGGCATCGTCAATTACCTCCTGATTTGCAGGAACGTGTTCGACGATTTGTTCAGTACAAATGGCTTGCGACAAGAGGAGTTGATGAAGAAGAAATTCTGAAAGCTTTGCCTTTGGATATACGTCGAGAGATTCAGAGGCATCTCTGTCTAGCTTACGTCCGTCGGGTTCCTTTCTTTGCTCAGATGGATGATCAGCTTCTGGATGCAATCTGCGAGCGGCTTGTTTCATCGTTAAACACGAAAGATACTTACATTGTGCGAGAAGGAGATCCTGTGAATGAAATGCTGTTCATAATCAGAGGTGAACTGGAAAGCTCAACAACAAATGGTGGTCGATCAGGTTTCTTCAATTCCATAACTCTCAAACCTGGTGATTTCTGTGGTGAAGAATTGCTTACATGGGCTTTAATGCCATCTTCGAATTTAAATCTTCCTTCATCAACGCGAACTGTGAAATCCCTAACGGAAGTAGAAGCATTCGCACTTCGAGCAGAGGACTTAAAGTTTGTTGCTAATCAGTTCAAACGCCTTCATAGCAAGAGACTACAACATGCTTTTCGGTACTATTCTCATCAATGGAGGACATGGGGTGCTTGCTACATACAAGCTGCGTGGCGGCGTTTTAAAAGGAGAAAACTAGCAGAAGAATTATCGAGACAGGAAAACTTACAATGTCCTCCAAATTTGATGGACGAATATGATGAAAGTTTTTATTATCATGATGGAAATGGCAGTACTTCTAGTAGCAATTACAATGCAGCTAGAATGGATGGAAATGTTCAGCATCTTGGTGCCACGGTTTTGGTTTCAAAATTTGCTGCAAATACTAGAAGAGGACAGAATGTTTCAGTGGCTAAACCTGATAGTTCCAGTTTGCGGATGCCAAAGCTTTTGAAGCCTGATGAGCCTGACTTTGCAGCGAACAGAGATGAGGACAATAAGGACGATGAAGAAGCAGGCCTGATCGAATTTGATTGACGTTTTATTAGTTAGTTAATCAACCTTCATGTGTAGAAGTACTTCGTACACACTTTTTAGTCTAGTGGTGGTTTCTAATATGCCAATGTGGCTGGAAATGAAACTTTCGAAAGTCCCATTGCACATTTTTTGTTAGTCCAGTGGTTTCATAGGCTGAAGTTGGGTAAAAATTTTCAACTGCTTTGGAACCCTGATTAACAATATTACTTCTACAAAATGTCCCTAACAAACTCATATAATTGTAATAATTTCAAAACCCAAGGTGCTTTGGAAAGAAAATTCAAATATATATCATAATCGTAATGTATTATAACATTGAATTTCAGGCGTTATAAATTAGATTTTGCCTCACTAGCAGAATGTCACAAACTTGCAATTTACCTCATCGCGAAATTGTCATCTTAATCTTTGGATTCAGCAAACATTGACTACATGTGAAACCATTGGTCTAGTTAATGAATCACAGTGGCGGTAGTAAGTAGTATTCATTCCATTTTCTTATCCTCTGAAATTGCAACAGCAGACCATACAGATTCCAAGTCCCTTACAAGTTCCTTCTCTCTACCTAAAACAACACTACTGTGGTTAGCATTAGGAACGATATTTACATCTGCTTCTGGTACTTTCATCTTTACGTTAGCGCTGCATTCCAGTGGAACTACTTGATCTCTATCTCCTTGGATGACTTTAATTTTTACCATGCCCTCTCGCAAGGTGTCAAAGTACCTATCCATTGATTTTGCACCTCCACAGATGACATTATGCATGGAATGCCAACCGGAATGATGCGTATGTCTAGTCAAATCCATAACCGTAAAGTGCAGTTCCCTGATTCAGAAAGGAAACAATGGAGCTGAGTCTGGACAGAATCTAGCCGTTGACTATCCACACAAATACACAACCGAGCTAAAAAGTTAAGATTTTACCTTTTCCTCATGATAAGCTTCAGGATTGCCTCCCATGTTTTGTGGTTTCGACAAAAAATGAAACACACTGATCGGCCCAAATGCTCATACCAGGACATAATTGCTGAACCAAATGACAGTGGTGGCCATACTTTTCTAGCTGCAAGCCGTTGAAGTGCCATCAAACTAGCATCCTTGTTTGAAGGGATGTACGGCTGAAGTTCAAAGAAACCAAGGCTAATTTAGCACACAGAACAAAAATGACAAGCAAAACAAGAGCTAGATTGCACAACCAAGAAGTAATTGGTCATGTGGTGCAACTGAGTTGCAGACAAGATAGCTTTTGGACTGCATTTATCTGGAAAAATCTTAGTTACATCAAATGGTAACTTGGTTGACACTATTGCTCACAAAACAAAACAGAATATGAACCAAGGCACCACTTCTGCATCACATAGGATTTCATTTCTTGACTAAGAACTTTAAATTAGAACACTCACCGGTGCTATCAATGTGATTGATTTGATTAACTTGATATGTTCTGCAGCTAATGCCAATGCTATCACACAGCCCATCGAGTGTGCAACAATATGAAATGAATCCAGTTTATATGGACCAATCACTGATTTCTCTATCATTTCTAAGTGATCCCTTAACGTGTAGAAACAATCACTTGGTTTTGGACTTCTTCCAAATCCCAAAAGGTCAACTGCAAACAGTCTGTAGTTTTGCTTCATGGAATCAGATAAGTTGGGAAATATAGTTTCTGCCCAGTATGAGGAAGATGCGAGAAAACCATGTATAAATATTACATTTTGAGCATCCTTTTTTCCGCAATCATGTGAGCTGACTGCCAAAATACAGCAGATGATCAGGTCCATCATCAAATGTTCAGCGAGAAACAAGCTGGAATTATTGCAATCAGTATACCGCATTTCCAAAAGATGCAAAAATGTTGCATGCTGAATGATTGCTTACTTTACATGCTCGCATGCAACTTATCTAAATGATAAATTTATCTATAGATGATATTGGGATTGCCAAAAAAGCTGAGGCAAAAGCCAGAAAAACAATGGATTGTGATGTCGATAGGCTGATGGAAATTCAGAAACAGACAGAAAGTCGTACTGTTCTGATAGCATTCAGATTGAGAAGTTTCACATGCAGCCTCAATGCATCCTTCACAAGTTTTCCACAGTATACATTTCACCATTAATTTTACGAGCTGAAACCAGATCACATGCGGAGAGAATAAATTTAGCAAGAAAATGTTATCTGTGGTTACCATCAGTTTGTGGGATTGATAGAGAAACAGTCAATGTAAAATGTCCAGCACTTTTGACAAAGATAGTTGAAAATTACCTGGATGGTAGTTAAACTGAATAGATCATCAGCAAGAAAAGACAACAAAATCTAGGCCTTCATCCCAATTTATGAGGTTTTACTTATCACAGATGAAAAGAATATCAATCCGAATATTTATGTCTGTCATCAGAACTCCAAACAAATTTACTAGATAACATGATAAGGTCTCCTTAAATGCATGGCTAGGGCTTAGAGATGAAGCTAGGAAAAATCTACCTAAATATTTACGGCCTTCAATTTTTAACATAATGACCTCAATGTTCACTGTTATAAATTGGAGCCAGAGTTTCCATTACCATTAAGGTTTCTCAAGAAACACATAAATTAGAACATTGATGGCCTCCAAATGTTTTGACGGCTTTTATATCTTAAGTTGTTTCTTATGGCACTAGATGATCCATCATTATAGCTTTGATATATCTGAAAATGGTAATGCAGGGGCAGCCATTAAAGAAATATTTAGGCGGATGGGGGACAACTGAATCTTTCCATATCAAGAGAAGTCAAGTACTTTAGAACGACACCATCAGACTTAGCCGTGACAGTTCATCTTCAAGCCATGAGCCAAGTAAGATAGTATTGTTGACATTTGATGGACTATAAAAAATCTCCTACAAAATGGCATGTCATCCATGGGAGACGTGCCGAGTACAATACTACCACTTACATTAATACATTTAACGCTTGCAACACTCAGTAGATGTTCCCAAGTCAGCCATTAAATGTCAAGAATATAAGATAAGTATAATAGTCATCAGTTTCAGGCCTCAGCCCTCTCAGAAGATGCAAAGCATCTATCTAACATCAACAGCAATATCATGTCCAGGCGGCTGGGGGATGTGAACGAAGGTACACTAGATTTCAATGTAATACTAATACTGTATTTAACATAGCTCAGTAAACATGAATGTCATAGCTTTATAGGACATCGTCTTCTCCACGTTCTGCATTTTTATGTTTCTCATCATAGTATAACTATTTAGCCAAATTACTCAAGCAGCCACCAACTTAAAGACACTTTTAGTTGCCGGGTTGTTTAATGTTTTAAACAAAACCTTATGGTACTCGCTAAAACATGGCAAAGGTGAGCTGAGCTTTACATGAAATTTGGAAATGGTTTAAACAAGAGTTTGCACCCATATGGAGGAGTTCGGAGAAAAAGAAATCTCCCAACAGTTAATAAACTGGGAATATTACTCAACTACTAAAAAAGTTCCTCTTAACCCCCTGAAACTTACAGATTGTATCTCAACTTATTAGGACAATAACAAACTTAAACTAATTTGGCGGCAGCATCCGTTCCATTTTAATGAGGTCACCATACGCCAACACCCTGTTGCATCTGCTATCATTTTGTGAACAGACTACAAAATACGGTAAAGAATTGATCATAAAACTTTAAGGTTAGTGTAAATACTGTTGTGATTGTTCACTTTTTTTCAGTCAATACGGCATCAAATTAAAAGGGATCTTTTCACACGTAACACAAAACAGAAAAGATAGCACCCAGATACAAATCTGAAAATAAGCGAAGAGACAAAATTCAGAAAGCTTCTACCATTAACGTTGAAAAAAAAGAGACCAAATATATGTAAAGTTTGAAATGAAGGAGTATAATTTTAGACACAAAAATCCAAAAGAAATTTTCAAAATTGACAACCGGGATTAATTACCTCTTAGCGGCTCTTTGACGACGACATGAAGCCTTAAATCCTCAGAATTCTGGGTCCATTCAATGCAAGAATCGCATCCACAATCGGACCACCTGTGTTTACCGCAAAAGGTACATCCATTTTTCCATCCCCTTCTTGGGGCTGATGAAATTCGCAACGATCCCATTAACGTCCTGAAAATGTTGTTCCTCCTACTCCCACAAAGAGTTCCCGAATGTTCACTCTCCCTATCATCATCAACACCGTTCGCGTCCACTTCCTCCGTCTTCACGCAGTAACAAGTACGAGAAGCTTTCCCTTCCAGGAAATCGTCGAGCACTTTGTAGACATTGCAGAGAACAATGTCCAGAAAATCAAGACACAGAAAGACGACCCAACTGATGATTGATAGAGTGATTTCCGAAGCTTTTTCAGTCCACTTCCTCCACTCCATCTTTCCCTCAAAAAACCATTGAAGAGAGAGAGACAGAGACAGAGAGAGGGTGGATTTGCAGAGGAAAATCCAATTGGCAAGAAAGCTCTTTGAATGGAAGCATCAAGGAAGTGTAACAAAAACGTGACGCATGTTAGTCCACGTCACGATGCTTGTTTTGAAGACTTTTGATATTGACTACATAAGGTCCTCCTATTTTACTATTTTAGTAATTTATTGTAAAATATACAGCATTTTTTAAAACTTAGACAATTATTACTTATTATTAGTATCACACTTCCAAAATCGCATTACTGGGATTATATATAATTTTAACAAATTTAGAGTTTTCTGTTTTTGTTGAAAAAATTTATCTGGACGTACAATTTCATAGAATTTTTTTTATAAAAAAAAAAAACTCAAACTTGTACTAACACAGTTAAACTTATTTTCTCTATTGATGTTGACACGTTATATGTGGAGAATTACGTGTGAAATATAAATTGTCATGAGTGCGATGTAAATTGTCATTAATTGAAATTATTGAGAAAGAAATAACATCAATAAGGGGAATCAAATTGTACTTGGCCTATTATTTTACATTAAAGAAAACCAGAAAAATATGAAAAGGTTAACTAATTTGGTTTTTTTGGTGATGAAATAACTAATATGGTTTTTTTTGTTTTTTTTGGAAATAGCTAATTTGGTGAAGAAATCAGCAAATGGACGATCAAGGGAATTGGTCAGGGGATATGATTAACGTATTTTGATATACGTCTCTTGTTTGACTGTAAATTGGGTAGTAACAACCTAGAAAAATTTTAAAATGAAACAAAAAGAAAAAAAAAAAAAAAAGAGTATGACTCAGCAACAAACTTAAACTGATCATATCATCACTTTTTATGGTGATTTTTAATATTTTCTTTAATGAATAGTCAACTTCTAGTGTCAATGTGCTTAACTTCTAGTTTCAATTTATATGCATGAGATGTTCATTGGTTGAATGTGCTCAACTAAGTTTGCTGTCAACTACAATTACAGTTCTTTTCCCTCTAATAAACAATGTATAGTCAACTTCTGTTGTCAACTTGTCATCATTGTAAGTTCCATATCTTTTGATTTTTTCTTTTACCTCATACTACCTCATCGGTCCTGAAAAAAAATCTATATTAAATTTTGAGAATCTACATTAAATTTTGAGATTTGTATTTTTTAAGTACAAATTTAAAACTCAATTTAGACTATTTTTCTGGAATGGATAAAGTATAATATATAATTTTTCCGTCCCAAAAAATTTTCAACATCTCAATAACTTTTAAGATATACAGAACCAAACCGAGAATTGTATTAGACAAAGTTCTAAGTTGTATGCTGAAAGACGGAATTTAATTTTTAAAAAGACTTGAAAGAGACAGTTAGACTGAACGTTTTTCTTTTGTAAAATCAAAGTGAAATTGAGAAAGTGCAAAATATATAAAAGTATGTATGTTTCATTTTTTTAGTGTGTGTTTTAGGTATTTTTTGTATTTGGAATATAAAAAAATGTATTAAAAATATAAAAAGGTATGCTGAAATGAGACAGTTATTATTTTATAAATCGAAAAAAACCATAAAAAAACTAAACAAACAAAGACTTGGGGGAATTTTTTTATTGTTTCCTTTCTTTGTCCCATTTTTTTAATTGTATAGAGCGGGAGAGCTGAAAAAAAGGGGGTAAGAAGTTTCCTACATCTATTTCCACTTGGACTACTTTTTATTTATTTCAGAAAAAACACTTTTTTTTTAAACTTTGAACACATTGAAATGATAATAATTATAATAGTTTCACCCTTCAATTTATACTATGACACCCTTATGTTATTGTTTTAATCTCAACCCCTATAAAAATTCCAATGCTTTCAATTATATCCTTAAAAAAATATTTCTACTTTTCATTAAATCCAATACTACCCTTATGCATATATATATATATATATATATATATATATATATATATATTGTCTAAACCCCTATAATAATTCCAATACTTTCAATTATATCCTTGCGAAAATATTTATACTTTTCAACTGAACTCAATACTAATATTTAATATATAACATTATTATAAATGGTGTTTAATGGGTAACCTTGTTAATACAACAACTACATAACACTAGTAATATGAATTGTAATAGATAACAACGTTAAACTACCCCACAACATTAATATAGAATTATAGATATAATGGATAACAGTATTAAGTATTAATCCTGCTTAGTAACACTGCAACAAATGATATGTAATTAGTAATAGGGATAATGCGATGCAAGTACTTAACAGTACTACGTATGATATATAGCTAGTAACAATTAATAGTTTACACTAACATAATGATATATAATGTGTAATAGTGATAATGGTAGTATGTACATTTAAAAAAACTAGTTTTTTACCCGTGCTTTACACGGTGAGAAAATTAGAATTAAATTATCCTATGTTTTTTTACGTTAAATATGAGTGTATAATTTCAACATATAAGAAAAAACAATGAAGGTGTATAAGAAATATTAGTTTTGTTTATAAATAAGATAAAACGAAAAAAATTAAGGGTGTATACAAAAATTCAAAGTATTTGTGCCATTATTAAAAAATGTATCGGAAAAAAAGCAATAGTTATAAAAGCAACATATAAGGAATTATATATTTTCTAGGTGTGTCATCTAATTATGAAAGGGTCACTTTCCGACGGGTCTTATTCCATCTTCATTTTCATCTTTACCAGCATGTCGCTCTACATAATCTTATTTAAAAAGGTATGAGTCTTTAGTAGGTTAAAAACCTGCAATGGATTGACTGATATTTTAGTCTTTTTGGCAGCCCGTTGAACAAACAAAAAAAAAAGAAAGAAAAAGAAAAAGAATTATTCCATAATCATTTTCATCTTTAATATAATACTCTATAACGTCCTTCTTAAAAATTTTTGATTCTTTAGTAGGTTAAAAACGTGCAATGTGTTGTGGCTGGTATTTAAGTATTTTTTATTTTCTGTTAAAAAATAAATAAGAAGAAAAAAAAAGAAAAACTTGCAGGTCTTATTCCATTTTTATTTTTATCTTTAACAGAATATCACTTTATAACGTTCAGCAATAAATTCCAAATTTTTGATAGGTTAGAAACATGCAAAGGTGTTAGCTGATGGAGATGCCACCAATGATAACATATCGAGAAAAATCAATTAGACAATTCAATCTAACTCAATCTAGAATACATAAACACACATAAATATAAAAAAGAATAACAACAAAAAAGTACTATTGGAATTGAATCTGAAAGAGGACTTTATTATTTTAGTATCTTTGGCATCCCATAAAAAAAAAACTAAATAAAAAGGTAAATAAAATTTTGCTATTTAAGTATTTCTGACAGTCTGTTAAACTAAAATAAAACAGAAGTTCTCATTCGATCTACATTTTCTTTTTTAACAGCATGTTACTCTGCATCGTCCTGCTTAAAAATTATTAGTCTTTGGTAGGTTAAATACATGGAACGATTTCGACTGCTATTTTAGTACTTTTGACATTTTGTTGTACCTAAAAGAAAAAAAAACGGAAGAATAAGCAAGAACTATTTGTTCAAAGATGATACATATCAATAAATTAATAGTTTAGTATTTTTAACAAACCCGTTGAAAAACAAATCGGCGGGTCTCATTCCATACTGATTCACATTTTTAACATCACGTCACTCTGCTTAAAGGTTCCATGTTTTTTGTAGGTTAATAATATGCAATAGTTTTAGATGCTATTTTAGGATTTATAATAGCCCGTTGAAACAAAAAAAAAAAAAGAAAAAGAACTGGTGAATCTCATTCCATCTTCATTTTTATCTTTAACAACATGTCACTCTGCGTTATCTCACTTAAAAGGTTCCGAGTCTTTGGTAGTTTAAAGAATTGTAATGGTTTTGTCTGCTATGTCACTCTGTAAAGTCATGCTTAAAGGTTCCATGTTTTGGGTAGGTTAAAAGTATGCAATGATTTTTTTGTATTTATAACAACCCGTTGAACCCAAAAAAGAAAAAGAATCGATGGGTCTCATTCCATCTTCATTTTTATCATTAACAACATGTCAGTCTGCTTTATCTCACTTAAAAGGTTCCGAGTCTCTAGTATGTTAAAAAATGGTAATGGTTTTGTTTGCAATTTTTGTATTTTTTGACACCCCATTAAATAAAAAAAAAGAAAAAAAGAGAAAAAACAACTCTTAATCCATCTTCATTTTCACTTTTAATACTATGTGACTTGGCATATTTCGGTTTAAAAGGTTCGAAGTCTTTTATAAGTTAAAAACCTGCAATGGTTTTGGTTGATGGACGTGTTGCGATTAACACATGGGAAAAAATACATTTGAAAATTCAATCCAATTTAATTCGTAAGACATAAAAACATGCAATAAAAAGAAGAATAAATTAAATAATAATTATTGAAATTGGATCTAAAAATAAAATTTTGCTATTTATTTCTGATAATCCGTTAAACTAAAACAAAATCAGAGTCTCATTCGATTGACATTTTCATCTTTAACAGCATGTCACTCTGCAAAATCATGCTTAAAAGATTCTTAGTCTTTGATAGGTTAAATAACTGGAATGATTTTGAGTGCTATTTTAGTATTTTTGGCACCCCGTTGAGCCTAAAAGGAAAAAAATAGAAAAATAAGCAAGAACTATTTGTTCAAAGATGATCCTTACTGATAAATTAATAGTTTAGTGTTGTCGACAACCCGTTGAAAAAAAAAAAAAAAGAATCGACGGGTCTCCTTCCATTTTCATTTATATTTTTAACATCATGTCACTCTGTATCATCCCGTTTAATGGTTCCATGTTTTTGGTAGGCTAAAAATCTGTAATGGTTTTAGCTGTTATTTTAGTATTTATAAAAACCCGTTGAAGCAAATAAAGAAAAAGAACATGTGGGTCTCATTCCATCTTTATTTTTATCGTTAATAACATGTCACTCTGCGTTATCTCACTTAAAAGGTTCGGAGTCTTTGGTAGGTTAAAAATTATAATGGTATTGTCTAATATTTTAGTATTTTTGAGACCCCGTTAAACCAAAAAAAAAAAAAGAAAAAGAAAAACCAGCTCTTAATCCATCTTCGTTTTCGCTAATACTATGTCACTTTGCATATTTCGGTTTAAAAGATTCCAAGTCTTTAATAAGTTAAAAACCTGCAATGGTTTTGGTTGATGGACGTGTTGCCAGTAACAACACATGGGGAAAAAATATTAGAAAATTCAATCCAATTTAATTCATAAGACATAAAGACACATAATAAA